AACAATTGCTTTATGCCGAATTGCCGGTATTTGAAAGTGAAAGTAAAATGCGCACGCCGCTTTTACAAGCTATTTAAAAGCGAAGGAAAGCGGAACGCCCCCGCCCCCACTTGATACCGGTATTACCGGTGTTGTCACACGTCGATTAACCGGTGGGAAAATTTCCTCACCGTCACAACCCTAGTAAGTACATGTAGTTCATTTGTTTAATTGCACTGTAACAAGGACACCTTAAAATAAAGTGTAACCAAGTTCTTGTATTATAAATTGGTTACTGATGGTCCTTTACACTTAAAACAAAAGGCTAAATTAAGGCACCATTTGTGCTGGTGTGCTTTAGTTCCTGAAAGTTTGCCCACTCGCTGTCTTCCAGCCATTATCTGAGTACATTTCTGTGAATAGAGAGCACTATGTCTTGTGCAAACTGTGCTTAGCATTAATTTTGTGGGTGCATTTGCTGAGTTGCTTGATTTGCAATATTCCTTTAGTAAGTGGGGTGTTAAAATAATGTGTGCAAATACTGTAAATGATGCTATCAGCAATCCCTGTTCATTCTTAGTGAACATGACCCATAGTATTAGCACACATGATATTGATGTGGAACTTCATCCTTTCTCCATAGCACAGGTCAAACATTCAGCATTTAAATTCCACCTTTCAGGACCTTTGTATTGAACACATTGTAGTTTCATGTAAAAGATATTTGAAATAATTTGCATTGCCTGTTGTCTGTATTGCAGGTGGTGGGAGGGAAGATGACAGAGTCTGGCAGACTTTGTGCTTTCATTACGAAGGTGAAGAGAGGAAGTCTAGCAGACACTGTCGGCCATCTCCGACCAGGTGAACACATCTATTCAGATTTAACAATTAAACACATTTCTTTCAACTCGCTTTAGACTGTGGAAGGCGTAAAAGCATTTGCTCTGAGACCATGTGAAGTCAGAGCTGCTGCTTCTGTGATCCCGCTGAATTATGGGATTGTGTACAGTATATGGGTAAAGGTTTTTAGGTCCCGCTTTATATTAGGTGTCTTTAAATACTGTGTACTTAATAATAAAGTAATAAATTGTTAGGTAAAATGTACGTATTGTGTTCACGTTGAATTGCAAATCACCTCTGCTGCTATTGATGGGGATAGGGGTTAGGTTAGTTAGGGGCAGGTTTGGTGATCTGGTTAGGTTTAATGCGTAGAGTTAAGAGTGTAATTATAGATGTACCTACAGAAATTAATTACAGGACGGTATTTTCAAATATAAGTATATAATATAAGAAAAAATATATGTACACAATAAGTGCATTGTATCAAATCTTTAATTTAAATGCAAGTACATAGTAGTTAAGGACACTTACTATAAAGAGGGTCCTTTCTACGTGTTTTAAACTTAAAGGGTAAGTTCACACAAAAATGGAAATTCTGTCACCCTCATATGGATTAATTTTACAGTGTCTAAATGAACTTTTTTGAAGTTTGAAAGTTTTGGTGGAATGGACTTTCGATGGAGGGACAGTCATTTCTTTTCATTAAATATATCATAATTTGTGTTTGAATTAAACCGTTCATATTGGATTTATATGGATTTTAAGCTTTCCTGAATTCAAACAGTAGTGCATTCTGCTGAAGTCATAGGTTTGATTCCCAGGGAACGCAAAAACTGTGTCTTGAATGTAATGTTAGTCACTTTGGATAAAAGCATCTGCCAGAATGTAAATTAATTAGTTTTACAGTATCTTTATGAACTTTTTGAAGATTTAAAGTTTTGGTGAAATGGACTTACAGTGGAGGGACAGAAATCGCTTAGGTTTCATTAAAAATTAATGTACCTTGAATGCAACGTAAGCCACTTTGCGTAAAAGTGTCTGCCAAATGTAAAATGTAAATGAATTACTTAGAATGTTTTTGTGAATTTTATGAAGATTGAACATTTTGGTTGGATAGACTTTCAGTGGAAGTATCTTCATATGGATTACAATATCACGATACTTTTACGATATCTTTATGAACTTTTTAAAGCGTAAAAGCTTTGGTGGAATGAACTTTCAGTTGAGGAATAGAAATAAATCACTTGAGTTTCATTAAAAATATCATCAAACCATTTGGTTAAAACTGATTATCTTTACAATGTCTTCATGTACTGAAAAGTTTGGGTGGAATCGACTTTCAGTGGAGGGACAGAAATCAGAAAGGTTTCATTAAAAATATCTTTTGTTCATTTGTTTTGATTAAACCCTTTGATTCATAAACTGTAAAAAATGAGATGATGAGTAAGTCATGGCAAATTATGGTTTTACATTAACAATGTTTTTATCAGTTATATGAAATTCAACTTCATTTTTTAAGTCAGTTTGATGTACTTTAAGTTGAAATGACTTGCACAGCTAAGTAGATTATGCTTAAAAATGTAAGGCAACTATTGAAATGTTAAAATGGATTAGATTTTTTTTTTTACAGTGATATGGAATTCTTTTACAATGTCTTTATGAACTTTTTGAAGCCTCAAAGTTTTAGTTGCAACTTTCAGTGGAGGGACAGAAGTCTCAGGTTTCATTAAAAACTTTGTGTTTCGATGATGCATTAAAGTCTAATCGTTCTGGAACAACATGAGAGCGAGTAAATGATGACATAATTTTAATTGTTGGGTGAACTAACCCTTTAACTAACGCTGGTTTAAGTGCAGCTATATCATATTTGATGTCGTATTGATGCTGTGTTGTGTCGGTCCTCAGGCGATCAGGTCCTGGAGTGGAACGGGAGGGTCTTACAGGGAGCCACATTCAAGGAAGTTTACAATATCATTCTAGAATCCAAGTCAGAGCCGCAGGTGGAGCTGGTGGTCTCACGGCCCATCGGGTGAGTGAAGCGGGTGATGGATCATTACTCTGCCCAATACTCAACGTGTCAGTTCAGGAACACAGAGCACATTGACAGTAGAGCTTTATGAAGAGTGATGGCCTGTGGGAGCCCAATATATGAATGCTTATATTCACACAGACACGTAGAAACTTCAACTTGTTCACTGCTTAAAATGAAAGTTCTGCTTCAGGTCAGTTCTTTAGGAGGACAGATTGACATAATTAGAAATTATTGTTTGTTACTTTCAAAATGAAAACCTATTGAGAGTCTAGCAGCAAGATGGTCAGATGTTCAGCTTAACCTTGAAGAGCTGGGCAATATATCAGTGATATACTGTAGATATCAGTGATATTATTTTGACAGCAGTATACAGTAAAATCACTTAAAGGCACAATATGTAAGTTTTTGTCGCTAGAGGTCGCATTTTCAAAACAATAACAGAGGTGAAGCTTGATGATGCTATGACGGAGCGTGGAACGATGGGAGATGTGGTTTTCACAAATCATGTTTACGGGTAACTTCATTCATATCTATTAAAATCACCTGTACATGACTATTACTTGTACAGCAAATAATATCTCTGGCAAGTCCGAGTTTGTCGCGAAGCTCTGTCCATCTCGAAAACGCACGCCGATATTGATCCTTCTTGCCTCAGTTGGTCTACGTTTACGTTTTTTTTTTTTTTTCTGAACTCGCCAATGAATAATCGTGATACATGATAATTGAAATACACAACAGCGGCGCGCTACATGCTGCATAACTACCACTTCCGCATTTGTCCATGTGTGTTGCCATAGTATCCATAAGCGGAAACCGAGGATAGTGCGGATATTGCGTCACTAGGCGCGTTTCCATTACCCTTCAAATTGCGCAAATTGAAATTGCGAATTGAAAATACGCTTAATGGAAACGCGTCAATTTCGCAAAAACTCCCATATATCGCAAAAAAGTTTTTACACTAGCATGAGGTGGTTTTTCAGGCAATGCGAAAAAGGAATAATTCGCAAAACTGCAATACGGCCACTCAATGCTTTTGTTTATGTTTTTATACAGTCTATGGTTTATTCCAGCCGGTGCCACGCACGTTTCTGAAGCGGCTCTCTGTGCTGCTTCTGTAAAAATACACACATACGCCTCCTTTGAATAAATATAGCCAAAATCCGTCAAAATCCCACTAAAATCCATTGCCATGTCTTATCGCGAGAGGCAAAAGGTTACGTTTAAGTCTCATAACATTGGTTACTGATAAATATAGCCAAAATCCGTCAAAATCCCACTAAAATCCATTGCCATGTCTTATCGCGAGAGGTAAAAGGTTACGTTTTAGTCGCATAACATTGGTTAATGGAAACGCCGTCATTTCGCAATACTTTTTTATCGACATTTATAAAATATCGCCAAAAGTTTTGCGCAAATCTGTAATGGAAACGCGCCTATTGATAGGCGACGATGAACAGGGACGAGCCATAAAATTTAAAATGTAAAATTTCAATTTCTCTGGATTTACAAATCCTTGGGAACTTTTGGAATAATGTAAGTAAACAACTGCATGAAATATATCACACTGTGCAAGTGGTTTTTGGATATTTTATTACAAAAATCTTGCATATTGTGCCTTTAACAATGTGAATATTTTAATGCTTTTTTTTGGCAATTATATTTCCTCGCCAAGCCAATTCTGCGCTTGCTTCTTCTGTCTTTAAGATACTTTAATGTCATCTCAGATTTTATTCTCAGCAGCAAACGTGCAAACAAGGTTTTGGAAGTTTGATAAATTTTTGATTCAATGAATCACTTATAAATTGAAGCACTCCTTATAATCACCCAAAATGTTCCCATGTGTCACTTCTCATGCTTTAGTCAAAATATACACTGTTTAGACTACCAGTCAAAAGTTTGGAATAATTATAGTTCAATGGTTTTGAACGAAGTCTCTTACTAAGGCTGCATTTATTTGATCAAAAATACAGTATAAACAGTAATATTGTGAAATATTATTACAATTTAAAATAAGTGTTTTCTATTATAATATATGTTAAACTGTAATTTATTGCTGTGATCAAAGCTGAATTTTCAGCATCATTACTCCAGTCTTCAGTGTCACATGATCCTTCAGAAATCAGTATAATATGCTGATTTGCTGCTCATGAAACATGATTATTATTATTATTATTAGGTGTAGTGTTGAAAACAGCTGTGCTGCTTCATATTTTTGCGGAAACCACATTGGTGAGCATAAGAGACTTCTTTCAAAAACAACAAAAAATCTTAATCATTCCAAACTTCTGACTGGTTGTGTATGTAAATATTGCTGTTTATAACAGTGTATATAAATGAAAATGATTAATTATTTCACATGTTAATTTATAGAAAAACAGTGTGGATGTCTTAATTATTTTTAATTACCTTTACTGTATTTTACTTCTTGATTTAAATTTTTTAAATCTTCTTGGCAACAATGGCTGTTTGGTTGAAATGATTGTTTAAAACCATTTCAGAGAGTATAAATAAATATCAGAATTTATATTTAAATTCATTCAAAACCTTACATTTTAGCTACAGTATTTCACCCAGCCATATTACCTTCTGGCATATGGCTGGGATGCCCTGAGTGTTTTTTTGTGTGTGTTTGTTTTTACAGACACACACCTGCTATCATTAAAATGCTCTTCACTTTTTTCTTGTAGAGATGTCCCTAGAATACCAGAGAGCACACATGGACAACTTGAATCAAGTAAGTTTTGCTAGTTTTGATATATAAAACATACTTTAGCACTGCCGTTGCCAGCAGGAGGATCGATCTAAACGCTCTTCGCCTATTTTTCAGGTTCAAGTTCCTTTGAATCTCAAAAAATGGGCCCGTCCATCTCTGTCACGTCCCCCATGAGTCCTGGCATGCTCCGGGACAACCCTCAGTATCTGTCCGGACAGCTTTCAGTGAGTATCAGCATCTGCACTTCTTTTCGTTGGCCGCTCGACTCAGGGCTTCACTGATGAAATGGCGCTAGCTTTGAGGTTTAGCGATTATTTCACTGTGTCTTCAGGGAGTTTGCCAGCACTCGCTGTTCATTCACACAGATATCAGCACAGATCTAAAGGCCAAAGTGTTAGAGTTGTAGATAAGATGATATAAAAGAGCTTGTGCAAAGTTGACAAATGGACATGGATTATTTTTTTAACATTAGAAATGTAAGTTATAATTTATACTACTGTTCAAAAGTTTAGGGTCAGTAAGATTTTGTATTCTTTTTTTTTTTTTTTTTATAAGAAATTCATACTTTTATTCAGCAAGGATACATTAAATTGATCAAAAATGGCAGTAAATACATTTATTATGTTACAAAAAATGCAAATAAATAAATCAAATAAATGCTGTTCTTTTGAGATTGCTATTCGTTAACGAATCCAGAATTATAAGCAGCACAACTGTTTTCAACATTAACTATAATAAATATTTCTTGAGCAGCAAATCTGCATATTAGAATTTGATCACAGGAATAAATTACATTTTAGCATATATTCAAACAGTTCTTTCGAACTGTAATAATATTTCACAGTATTTCTGTTTTACTGTATTTTTGATCAAATAAATGTAGTCTTGGTGTACATAAGAGACTAAAAAATCTTACCGACACCAAACTTTTGAACAGTAGTGTATTTAGAAGCAGACAGATTATGTTTACACACACACACACACACACATATATATATATATACCTGTATATTATTTCACTGGTTAATTGAAATGGTCCTCCAGTGTGACTAATTCGTTTTTAAAAGTACAGATATTTCACAGGGACATAAACATTACACATTTTATTAATTGTAGGAGTTAAAACTCACCCTCATCCTAATTTACAAGCATAAAAATGCCTTATTTACTTGCTGTTGGTGTCCTAATTAACAAAATGTTTGAGGATTCTCATCAGATTGCATAATTAGAAATAGATAGCGAGTCACTCCAAGGGACTCGGTATTAACACTATTTTATTCGTATAAAATGACTAGCACAATTATGTAAATTAACGACCAGTCTGTTTTGAAAATACACACTAATTAGGTTGTGCCAGTGCATTAAAATTGTATTTCTATTCACTCTGTTCATTTTGATACTTGATTTTGACAGGTTTAGTGGAATGCTGAATGCTACAAGCATTAGAATGTAATTTGAATGGAGTGTTCTGAAGTTAAATGAGCGTAATCTTAAGATATTTCAAATTATTTCAAATATATAGCGGACAGTAAAATGGCACATCATCTTACATTTGTTAGTCTGACATTTGTCAGTCAGGTGTGTTTTGCGATTCTAGACAGTTGTGTGTCAGTGCTAGACAGCGTCCGTCACAGACCAGCCTGAGTCCAGGAAAGGATCCCGACACGGAAAAAAGTATTCTTAGTTTTCAAGCTTGTTACCCGATTGACGTAGACTCTGCAGGTCGGCTCTGACACGGCGCTGCTGATCAGGATGTTAGGAAAACACACTCCCTTGAAAGACTAGCTATTGTACTTTGTGCTGAAGTTGTTGCGTTTACTTGAACGATCAGCCACGATCTTTACTACCGTTTAGCGTTTCAATAATTTACACCGTTTGCATTATCAGTGTCTAAGACGTCTGCGAGGTAAGTTTGACCCAGGTGTTCATACAGTACAGTAAAGTGCTTCAGGCTTGGATACAGATTAGCCATTATTATGCCTTTTAATTGTTTAATAAGGAAACGAGCTGTAGCGACAACTGTGAACATGCTAAATGTGGAGAGATTGTGTTTAAAAAGGAAATGCTGTTTAATAATAATAACAATGTATGTGCTTTTTCTGTTTTTGCACTGAAGTGTGTCTGTTCTTCTGTCCGGGTGATGCTTTTAGTGTCTCATTATGGTTTGCGCTGTCGTAAATTTGATTTCTTTTTGTTTGGAATGAGGGAGATTTATCCTAAAATATTGAAGTCAGAATACTTTACACACACACACACACACACACACACACACACACTCACTCACTCACTCACTCACTCACTCACTCACACTCACTCTCACTCACTCACTCACTCACTCTCTCTCACTCACACTCTCTCACTCACACTCTCTCACTCACACTCACTCACTCACTCACTCATTCACACTCACTCACTCACTCACTCGCTCGCTCACTCACTCACTCACACACACAGACTCATACACTCACACACACACACACACACTCACTCACTCACTCACTCACTCACTCACTAGGTCTTTCCTATTCTTGAAACAAAATTAATTCTTCAGGTTGATTCAGTATTACTCTTAATGAAAAACACTCACACACAACATCAACAATGCTGTGGAAGTCTGACTGGATAGCGTGACTTCTCTCTCTCTCTTCCCCATTACACAGCTATTAAAATAGTTCAGTTTTGCCACTATTTTTGACTTTTTTTGTTTTTCTTTTATTTTATTATAATTTTTTTGTTTGTTTGTTTTTTTTTGGCCTGATGTGCCAAAATTGTGTTTGCATTCAGTAGCCTATACGGCAGCATTTTTGTGCCATGTTTAAAAATAACTAAATAAATAAAATTAATGTCATAATATTTTAAGAATAAAGTTAAAATTAAGATAATAAAATCATGTTATATAATGTGAAAATTCCACCCATAGGCCTACTCCTCCAAAAAATAAAAAGTCTGTGGCATCCGTCATTCTTTTGATTGATTTTAAAACTCTGATTGATCGATTCATGAGACATTCGTGTGTATTAAGTTGTTCTGATTTTTTTCAACATGCAATCAAATATTCATGTTTATTTCATGCTGCAAATATTAAAGAAGAAAATATAATTGATTCATATGCAGCTTGAACTGAGGCGAATTCTCACTACAGATTAAAGAGCGTAAAAAGACGTTTGTTGTTTGTATTTTATCATATAATTGACAGAAGGCTGAGACTTTGAGTAACAAAGCACAAAGCTGCGATTATTGGGTGGCTTGCGTGCTACAAATAATGAATGGACTTGAAAACTTTAAACAACATTTCCAAGCATTAGCCTATACCCTAAATAAAACAGCTTGTGAATAGTCACGATTCACGTAACTTTATTTACTTCCGAAAAATCAACAATAGGGCCTAAGTTAAGTTAACCGAGTTGGAGCCCATAACATTTGGGGGGTGGGGCTGTACACATTTTTTGCATATGGGCCCGGGGTTGACTTGCTACGCCACTGAATAAGACTGATGTTACCCGCGTTGTAACACAAATAAATGTAAGGTTTTTGGATTTTCCCCTTACTTTAAATGCATGATTACGGCTCATTATTATTAATCGAAAAAAAACAAAAAAAACCCCATTAAACTTTGAACTTTTATTAACAAAATAAATAAGGATATGTTTTACTCGCTGAATAAGATGGATATAGCCATTGTAACCCAAATAAATAATGTATTTTCCCTTATTTAAAACGAATGCTTAGTTTGTGGTTCATTGTTATATTTTTTATGAAAACCCAGCAACAAAGACACTCAATTATAGGCTATTAAACGAATAAATGAAAGTTTTATTAACAAAAGCTGCGCTTTGGATCCGCCATCATATATAGTGACAGTCTTCTCGCATCACTTTTGTCACGTGAACCCCCAGTTTTATTTCTCAGCCCCCCCAGCTCAAAATACGTTCCCGCGGCTAGTTGTTCTTCAGCACTAAACAGTTGATCATCGATGTGATCAGAACACAGCCCGGCGACACACTCAGTGAAGTGCTGCGAGTCTCCGCCTCCAGAGATCAGGTACAGATGACTCCGCCCACACACACACACTCTCACACAAACACACACACACTAACTCACTCACACACACACACTAACTCACTCACACACACACACTAACTCACTCATACACACACACACTAACTCACTCACACACACACACACTAACTCACACACACACACACACACACACTCACTCACTCACTCATACACACACACACACTCACTCACACACACACACACACACACACACACACACA